ATTCTATGATTCTATGATTCTATCTACAGACACTTGACAATTATACTAACAAACTCACTCATCCCAAAACAGATGAGACCAGAAGTGCAAGCGTTTGTTAGAAAAAGGCCTGATGAAACTTTCTCAACCAGAAAGGCACTGGACACCATAGAAGCTCTACAGTTATGAGGATCAATAAACATTTAACCATATGCATAATTTAAAGCAGATTAATTACATGCTTGAAAACCTTACTATGCAGGAATAACTTCAAACATATCAGAGAAATTCAGGAACTGAGAAGTGACTGCAACACATTTTGAAATTTCACCACTGCTTACTAATGCTTTAAGGGCTCACTCCCTTATTTGGACTGTTGTCTTATGACTAAAAAGTTTATAATTTATCTGAATAAGTGAAAACAGTGATTTAAAATATTTTAAACAGAATAAAGAATTTTTCAATAGTGTGGAAAAACAGATTTTATATTTGGATTTACAGTAAACACTATGCACCTATATTCAGCTAGCTAGACAGAGAGAAGAAAATTATTAGTATTTTAAGATCCAGCTACTGTTGTCTTATGACTAAAAAGTTTATAATTTATCTGAATAAGTGAAAACAGTGATTTAAAATATTTTAAACAGAATAAAGAATTTTTCAATAGTGTGGAAAAACAGATTTTATATTTGGATTTACAGTAAACACTATGCACCTATATTCAGCTAGCTAGACAGAGAGAAGAAAATTATTAGTATTTTAAGATCCAGCTGCCAATCCTATTTAAAGGATGAATATTTCTTGATCCTCCTCCTGTTTGTACTAGTTGTTTCCTTTGTTTCCTTCACTGTAGAAAATAATGTACAATTGAAAAGCTTCCTTAGTACTTAAGCACTTCTTATGTCAGTGCCAACACCATGTTTACAGTGATGAATTTCTTGACCCCTGAGTAATTTGAATATATTGATTTAACATGAAGTAAAATACTCAGGCACACCCAGCTAAAAGATTCTGGAGCACTAACACTTCTGTCCAGTTTTTAATGCATTGACCCCATAATGAGCCAACCTTTGTTTTTCAATATATTTTCCTATTTCCCCTCCTTACCCCAAAATAAGGATCAGAGGTCTACTCTACTAAGAGTTATTCAGCTCACTGTCATCACCTTATGGAATTATTTATACCAATTTCAAATGAAAAAATGTTAAATAGTATAATGGCCTCTCGTTGATCTTGAGATAATCCAAATAAATAAAAACCTGTATTACGAAAATGCATATGTTACTCAGGCTACAGAGCATGTTTAGTATGCTCCCTTTTGAAAGGATTTGCATTTAGATACATGAAAGAACAGGGAGAGCTTCAAACCAGAAGTTTGTCAGTGAGGCCAGACTCAAGTAAGCATGACCATCCCTTTCCCCACATACACTCCATAGCATGTTGTTGCTGCTGGTGTGTCTGGCATTGTCAGGGGAAAGTCAGGCCCCCCTTAATCAACAGTTCAGATAATCCACTCACAGATATTTAATAATTTATAGCATTAAATTATATTTTGCATTGTGAAATGACTGCATTATTTGCTGGTCAAGAAGGGAATCACAGTAAAACTCATCACTATAATTCTGAGCGTACAAAATAAAACCTTGATTAATTAATACATTAAATTCAAAATTATGTTACAGAACAAAGCAAATTTTCAGGACAAAAGGATAATGGTCATGTATAGAAATACAATCAAATTTAATTTACTGTTTAGAGCAGCATCCTAAAGATGCTGTTTAAAATTGAATATAGTGTTTGTGGCATGTAATTTATTCTGATATTGAGAATAGCTCGTAAGAGATACATCTCTTGTTCTAACAACAACAACAAAAAGTTACAGGAGTCCATTTTCAAAGGACTGAAAGGGACATAAACCAAAACAGTTTGCTATGATCACATCTATCAGGAAAAAAACAAAACTAAATTTCATCTCTCAACAATAATAATTTCAAAACCAGACACAGCTGTATACTCAGCTGCCAGGACTAAAAAAAAACCAGATAGATACATATTCTATCATAGCAGAAGTAAGTTTTTCATTTCAATGAAAAGCAGTATTTTTTTCTCAAGTATGCGAGAAATGTTGGTTAATTGCAACCACAATTATCAAACCTGAAGAATGTGAGCTGTAAAGCTACTGCAAACTTAATGAAAAAGTCATAAAAGAACTTAGAGTTGTGTTGTATTATATTGGATTTACATCAAGGCAAGTATTAGTATAGTATACATTAGTGGTGCAGTTTGGACAGGCTGTTTAGTATATTTACAACCAGAATCCAAAAAGAACAAACAAGAACTGCAAATATATCTGTTTTCTTTTTTCATTTGGACTATTTCTTATAATGGCCCCAATGCCACTTTTCTTTCCACTGGAAGGCTGACTGTAGACCAGTAGCTCTATGTATCTGAAATAAATTCAATGTTGAGCAGCAAGTTTACTGGACTGTGTTTTCCACTGCACTAGTACAACATGCTCCCCTTGGTCTAACTTGTTGTCACCAAAATTCTACAGCTTGGAAGCAAATATTTAAAATCTTCTTTTGATCTATTTTCCCAGCTTGCCGCATCCACACCAACTGTCACAGGCTGAAGAAGAGACCAAACCTTTATAACGAAATCACGTTGACTCCATTTGTAAAGAAGTATGACAAGAAGATGCATCTTCAATGACTGTAACATCCCATGATATAAGATCATAGGCAGTACTGTAATATATTATGTTTAGTTCTTGCCACCATGCTTTAATAATGTGTTCAGACATGCTTCTACTAACAGCTGCTAAAATGCTGGGCCACAAAAACTCAAAAAGGTGTGAAAGAGGAAAAGAAGGCTATGCTTATTTGAAAATAAATATGAAAAAGGAGTAAGATGCAGTAGAAAGTAGTAGGAGCAAATATAAATCTGCTTAGCATACTACTTACAAGTCTGTCACAGGACTATAAAAATGATACTGACAGTCCTAAGTAGCATAATAAAATAACAATACAGGAGAATACACAAAGAAAATACTGGCAAAAGAAGGTCTCTTTCTATCTTTGATACCTAAACATTAATGAAAATAATTTTCAGTGACTTGCAAAGCTTTCAACAGATAAGGATAAAAGCATACAGAAACCCATAGAATACTAGGAAAGGTAGATTCCACTCTTTTCATGTATCATTTGCAATCCAAATAATTACAAATATTCAGGACATCAAACTAAGGAAGGTGAGAAAAGAATTGGAAAGATAGGATGAGGAGAGAAGAAAGGAGGTCTGAAATACTGTAGAAAGAAGAGATTATTTTAGCCACATATTAAATTAGATAACATATTTGTAAAATACACATAAATTAAAGCCATGATTCAACCACAAGATGATAGAAACACGAATAAAATATTTAAGCTCTATTGTCATAGTTACTGTCATCAAAATCCCTTGACAAAATTAAAATCTTCTATAGAGAGAAGCATATTATTTCTTACATTGTATTTTGTTACACAGCACTACTAGGTATACATTGCAATTCAGGAGCCAATGTATGGAAGGAATTTAAAATGTAGATTTATTTAAAGAGCATCGTGGTGGGCAAAAATGATGAGCATGTTCTGCCTAATTCAGAATTCCTTGGTGAATTAAAGTGTACAAAAAAAGAAATATAGGATGAATAATTATAAAAAGACGACAATGAAACTATTTAACTCCACTGGGAATATCAACCTGCAAGCCATTTGAAAGGCTTTTTTTCATGTCTCTGTTAAAGGAATTTGTATTTTAAATTGCTTGACATTTAGATGAGCAGTTATATGCAGAAGGAAGTAAGCTTGCAATTAAGTCTTAACTGATAGCAATGAGAAACAGTGCCAGCAGAGGTGGCTTAAGTTACTTGGCATCACTAAATAAAAGATAAAGATCATAGTTTCAGAGCTCAGTTTTCCTTTTGAGGATAGCATTTTACAAAAATATATTACATTTTAAAATAAATTAAGGCAAAATCATAGCCTATCATCCAATTGCTGCTCTGATTGGCAAGATTCATCACTGTACTTCATTCTTGCCAGTGTTTTCCTCAGCACAAGTACTGCCCTCAAACAGATAAGACGTCCTCATTCCTGATGAAAATATACTTCATAAACAAATTAATGTCCATGGATTTTTAAAAAGTCACATACAGTCATAAGCCGCTTTAGTAATTGCCTTTGCTGCATTCTTCTGAATATCGGGAACAGTAGAGATTTCTACAAGCGAAAGGAGCTTTTTAAGGCCCCCTGTCTGCTGAATCAGGTGCAGAGTATGCACATCTTCGAGACAATTTCCCAACACAGCAAGAGCTTCCACATGTAGATCACTGAATTCCTAATAAGGAAAAGACCCCAAATAAATACCCTTCAAATCAGGGTTAAAATATCTTTGGTTTTCAACTTTGTAGGATAATTATTATAACTTTCTTTTGGACAGTTTATTCATACTACAAATTAATTTTTTTCATAGTAATACTTTTTGTATAATTTCTTTGATGTGCCTTAGGTTGCAACAAAATTTATCAAAAACAGTAAAAACCCCAAAAGTTTCTCATTTACATCAAAGTGGTTAGGTAGGTATTCAGAAAGGACCTGTCATCTTAAAATTTCGAAAACTTCACTAATTTCTCTATGCATTTTTCTTCCCATGGTGACATCTGAACTCAAGAAGCACTAAAAGAAGTCTCATAATAACATAAACAATGAGATTTCCAAAGAAGGAAATTATATTTAAGGCCATCGATAAAAAAGTAAATTCAGAAAAAAAGATCAGTGTTCAAACTTGGAACCAGCACCAGAGTTCAGTGTATAATCAAAAATTTTGAGAAAACATTGTATAAAAAACTATATGGTGAATGTTGCTGATATTTGCAACAGTTAGAGAAATGGACAGTAAATGCAAAACATGTTACTAATAGCAAAAAGTAATAAAACAAATCTAAACATTCTGGTGAATCCCTTTGCTTCCTTTCTTAGTAAGCTACATATCCTAGCTTATTCTATTTCTACCATAGTTAGCTCCAAGTAGGGAGCTCTTTCTTCTTTCATCACTCTTCCATAACATGAATGATATTTCTCATTAGTCATACAAACATTATCAGCAAGAACAAAAAACTTTTAAGGCAAGTAAACTGTACATTGGTTTCCAGTATCTTCAGAAGACAATCTAATCCTTCATTTTCTCCCAGTATTATCCTGGTTTCTCTATCTTTGCTAATTATTTCCAAGGTTTTAAGGGCTAACAACTGAATAACTGGGTATTCAGATTTCAGTAGTTCCAGCAAGGGTGGAATTACATTCAGTGCACAAACTGCAGCACGGCTTTGAAAATCCTGCAGTAAAATATTCAACAAAGAATGTTAGTGATACAGAATATAACATTACATCAATTCCTGACTTTACAGAAAGGATATAAAAAAATCTGATTTCAAACATACAAAAAAGTCAGTATTCCAGAACTTCCAGTTCTGAAGATTTCTTTCTTTTCAGCTAAGAATCAAACTGAATATAATCAAAGCCCCACCAACTTTAAATTACAATTTTTTTTGCATGACTGAAGTACACACTACAAAATCTAGTCCTGTCTAAGGAAGCTTATTTACTCTTGATTTTGCCATGTTTGTCTCAACATACATGTTTCTTTGAGAAAATTTTTTTAATTTAGTTTCATCATTTTATTTACCTCAGTGGGGGGAAAATAGTTTTCACACTCTGCTGTGGTTGCCTGCTTATATCTTCTTTTGTTTTAGCAATTATAAAATGACAATTTAAAATTTCAACTTTAAACAGTGTATATGCAGCTTAATAAAAAGACAGTAGTAGATTATATTAAAATAGAAAAAAATAAATAAATTACAATTTGCTTTTAAATAGCTCATTGCACATGTGCAGAATGCAATTATCCTTATCAATATAAGCAAGCACCAGGTGCAGTTATCCAGATATACCCTGCAACAAAGACAGCGAGATAGTAAAAAAGGAGAAAGAGTAAAATGTGATTCTGAATAGACATGCTCTGATGCCCCAAAAGAGATAGAGTTATAAACTGAATTCATTATTGAATTGATTCGCTTAAGCCATGGAAGAGAACTGCCATACAAATGCACCATTCTTTTGCTAAGCAGCACATGGATGACATTAGTGCTGAGTGTGAAAGTAGCCAGTAACAAATCTATTCCTCCTGGTATGGAAAGTAGCTCTTGACAGCATTAACCTGTCATTAAAAAGATGTTCAAAATTGTGACTATGGACTTGCTGGCCAAAACAAAGCACAATGCAATTCCTAGCTCTTTAATTTACATGATTATTCCAATATTTTGGATAGAGAAGTTGTAACTCTCATTACTGAGATTAACATTTTCCAACGAAGAAAACAAACTCATATTTAATTAAAAAAATCTGAATCTGATTCTGATCTGACTTACATTGCTGTATAGCATGGATAATTGCATTAAGTTCAAAAGAATTAGAGTCAAATCAGCAATATTCATAGCTAATATAACAATAAAGGATTTAGGTGTAATGTTTTCAAATACCTTGAAGAACACTGGGAAGCAAAGGAACCAATATGTTAAAATTATTAACCCCACAGAGGATGGCAGGGGTAGGGGGGAGAGAGCTTATCTGCCTCTTTAATTTAGAACAACAACAACAACTTTACCTGCACGAGGAGGTAGATACATTCAACTGAATTCTTCTGAACATCAGGATCAGGGCTACCTAGCAGTCTGATAAGTGGTTCTAATCCACCTTGCTCAAATATTTGTATTTTAGTAGTATATTCAACAGCCATGTATGCTAGACAGAGTGTAGCAAATTCATGGATAACTATATCTTCTATGGGGAAAAAAAAGAAACATTTTGATCAAGTTATATTCAGCACAGTATATGTTCACTAATCCAGTGGTTTAAAAGTAATAAACAATAGCTGTTAATCATACCTGACATCTCCATAAACATGTTCCTCCATCTGTACAACATAAAACACTACTCAGTGAGTAACAGAGCTACTCCTATAAAAGCAATATCCTATTTAACATGTAGTATGACAAATCATAAGTTACAAGGAAGATTTTATTAAATTGTCCAATCAAATGGCAATAATAAATTATTTCTGAGTGTATTTTTGCACAAGGAATGAATACTGCAAGCTACCTTCTGGCGCCAGCTGTGATATAAGTGAATTTGTGACATCCAGGTCCCTCAGTAATTTCTTGACATCATCTACAATGAAATAAATACAAATATGAAGCCTTCTGTTTGGCAATCTTGGCTGAGTAAAGAAACACATTCTGCTCCAAGGGAAATGCACTTATAGTTACTCCCTGAGTGACAAAAAGATCTGACTGGGAATGACACACAACTGAAGTTATACTAAGATCATAATGGGCCTGGAAAACACAGAGATTTTCAAGTACCAGATGATATTCTTTGACATTTGATACATACAAAGTTCCTCAATACTTTAATGAAACTTTATTCAAAATACTTGTATCTAGAAGGTTCTGATTAAGTATTGCACAGTTTTAGTTGTCAAAGAAGTCATACCCCAATAGTTAGAATTATTTGTGGTTAAAATCAAACTAAAAGCAATCCTTCTGTTACTTGATTTTCAAGCCATCACTTTCTAATTTTATGCTAACACAGCCCACACTGCAAATTGAAAACATGGATTATATAGGTCTTATTAAAATCACACTAAAGACTTTCAGAATGCATTTTTGTTGTTGTCAATGGCAAACCAGCAAAACCACAACCACTGGATAGAACAACCAGAAAACATTCATGTGATCTTACAGGGCTGTGTTGTTACTATCAACACTTCAGAGTGCTGAAATGTAAGAAAAAAGGTATGAGTTCAATTTACTTTTAAAGAAAAAAACAATTAAGATGTGAATATAAATGCAAGTTCTTCAGCCATTCAAATCCATGTTTGTGCAGCAGTGTTTGAAGCCAATGTCTGAAGGGAGTAACTATACGCTAGAGCCGAATTTAAAGTAAGGTGAAGAGCATAAGGTTGAATGCAACATGAAAAGCAGGTAGCAGTTGATGAAAAGACTTACATAGTGGTTAGGATACCACCATGGAAGACAATTGGGTAGAACATCTAACAAAATAAGACCTAATTAATTAATTAGAAGTAGGTTTATAAAGCAATGTAAAAACAACAAGCCACTGAAACTCAACCTCATGTCATTTAATTCTTTCATCTTCAGGTATGTCTACCTGCCACTCACTGCAGCTTGATCATTTGGCACTCAGCCACCCAGCACAGATGTAATACATCCATTCTCACCTTATAAAAAGGTACCCAAAAATCTGCATATACTGTGGTTAAATAATTGAATAGTGGTATGGCTACAACAGATACACTACCTTGCTGTGAATGCAATGTCTCTGAGAGATATTCCAGACTACTCGAATTTCACTAGCTCAGATACAGATAACAAAACATTTACAGCAGCACTGGCCGGCCAAAGACGCTGGGTAAATATGCATGCCTATGGCTGATACTTCAGGGATTTTTCTGCCATCAATATTTGAGTTAGTTACCGTAAATTTAACACATTTTCTCCCTTATCACTGCAGTTACATTAATACCTCAAGTAGCAACTGATATTTAACCATAGCATTTTCCATAGATGATAAATACTACTTCATCCTTCTCTCCCAACTTCTGTAAAAGAATGTGTCATGTCCACATTGGTGGGCATCTTATGTAGTCAGGCTTTCCCCAGGAGACATAATTCCAGTATCAAACTGTTTCAATTTGGTCCCACCAAAACAAAAATAAGGGTTGGAGGAAAATTAACTTCTTTTGTAATTTTTTTCAAAATCAGTGGAGTTCACTCTAGCTGAATTTGTTCCTTTATTCTAGGCTGTTAATACAGAATTTTTTCTCATGCGCCACCTATGGCTTTGATGACCACACTCATACACATTGAAAAATATTCTCAATGTGGAGACTCTTACCATTAGAAGCCAGGATGCCAAGTACCATGACGGCATTTCTGCGTACAATTGGATCATCATGTGAGATGAGTTTATAAAGACGTTCCACTGCTCCAAGACCAAGAAGTGTCACTTTGTTTTCATCACCTGAAGAGTAATTAAGTTAAAAGTTCTATAAAAAATGCAACAAGCTCAGAGTTCTAATATAACAAAGTAAACCAGCTACCAATCTTTTACTGGACTGTAGAATCAAAGAACAAAGGCCTGGACAGGACCTTGTGAGATCGTCTAATCTATACCCCAAATAGACATGTGTCAAATAATATCAAGGATAAATAGGATCTAGGATTAATTCACATTTGCAAAGCAAAAGATGCTTCTGTCTATTGGACACCTAACTCATTTGTTGGAGACTGCAGTGGCAGTACAAACCGCCTCTTTCTAGGTGAAAGATAATACTAAGAACCTCATTTTCCTCTCTTCTTGCCTCTCAATTTTATTTTCCTCAAAATTACAGAAGCAGCTACCAGGTTTTGGGTCATTAAATTCCACCTGAGATTTTTACCACCTGACAATGGAGCACTTTGTAGCTGAATAGGTCCTGGCCATGCAAAGAACAAAAGCATTTTGTATGATTACAGCCTAATTTTTAAATATATAAAAATGAAATATTATTTTAGTTGCTTTTATAGCACAGGTCAGATTGGTAGGTCAACATAGTCCTAAGAAACGTCCGTGGCTGTCAGAAAGATGATGGAGTGTTCAAGGCAAGGCTGGATGAAGTTTTGAAGCAACCTGGTCTAGTGGGAGGTGTCCTGGCCCATGGCGGGGGGGGGGACGGTGTGTGGAACTCGATGATCTCTAAGAAACAAAGTCCAAAACCTACCCCTATTCTCAGTTCCCACAGCAGCTTTATAAATAATTTTCTAATGAACCATGCCTGTCCTTTCTGTGTACAAGTGAGCAATATGAGAAGAAACTCGATAACTATGCTCATACTCAGTCCAAAACACAATTAAAATAAAACAACAATTTTTTATTGAGGGTTGTGACTTAATTTACTAGCAACATTCAATAAAAGAATTAACTGCAAAGTGAAAGCAACACTTTCTCTTGTGCCACACTGCAAAGTTAGTCTAGTCTCCTTGAAGATTTCAGGAATATCTACATTAACAATTTAAAGGATTATTCGTTCAGTAGAAACAGAAAAATTAAATATCTGTCCTTTTGCAGTGTGCCATATTTTACTGCGGACAGCAGGGAAGGAGCCAACAAGAGGTTACAGTGTGTGGTTCATAGCTGTCTCCCAACAGTCCAAATTCTCTCTTCACATATTCAAAATTTGGTTGCATGCCCTCAGCCAACCTTGCCATATTAAGCTTAACCTAAACATCTTTCAGAACCCAGTGATCCCTAATCAACTGTCAAAGCCTTCAGCTCTTCTCTCACAACTTCAGCAGTGTTGATAACTGCCATCAGTACAACAAACAGTGCGTAAACCCATATTTTTTTAAGAAAACAAATTAAATGGGAATTAATATTTAAACAGATTATATGAAGAATGCTACCAATTTGAGTGGCTGGCATGGAATGAGTAGGAGGCAACTTAGGAAATTATGTGCTCCATACTTTTGAGCCTTCGTTACACAGTTGTTTTCTGGGTACCCAGAACATGACGCTTAGCTATAGATAATACAGGAAGGACCTTTGGAAGATTTGGAAACTTGGAGACTTGTTAGATTCCCAACACATACTGAAATAAGCTTGATAAAGGAGGCTGGGCAGGTTCCAATAAATCATCTTTCACAGAAGTGCTGACACAAGAGCTATATGCAAAAATAACAGAAACAGGCTAAAAAGTAATTTTCATTGAAAACTGAATCTTGAAATAATTACACTGGTACAGAAGTTTCAAAATGTAACATTAAAAAGATAATTCTTTCCCAGATGCAGGTCTGTTGGTCATAACAAAACAGATATAGGTTATATTTAAACCAAGCTCTATTAAACAGAGAATATAAAATTCTAAAGCAAAATTATAAAAATTTCCTTCATGCAAGCCACAGGACTTCTTTATAACTGCAAATAGAGGTTTGATAGATATGTCAGAAAACCCTTAAAACCTTAACAGAGACCTTTGAAATGAAATGAAGATTTCAGTGCTAGGAAACGAAAAAATTGTGAACTACTATAAAAATCTAAGCAATGCAAAGGAAAGCTCATTGCAAAAACACTAACCTTTTGATGCAAATTTATACAGAGCATCACATGCTTTGGCCAAAACTTCCTCTTCAGGAGAACTAAGCATTAGCACAACTGTTGCTGCTGTTTTGCTTTCAATACATAACGGATCAAACTACAAACAAAACAAAAAAAAGAAATAAAAGTTTGGTTTATACTGAGCCTTCTTGTGTGCTACAGTAGACTCCCACATTTAATAATAATAAAAAAATCTAGTTTGAGATCTACACTGAATTAGAAATATTAACTTCAGTTGCTATTTTCTTGGAGAAATTCAAGTTGTTAAAAACAATTTAAGACATTGTTGAAAAATAAGAAAGAATAATTGACTTCCAAATACAATCAAGATTTCATCCTGTATTAAGATTTTGGTAAAACCTTGACACTTCCCTGTACCTCTCTAGGAAGTCTTGAAGGCAAACAAACTATGTAATTCTGTTACACATGTAAGAGCATCCTGCAGCTTTGGAACCAAACATGAGAAGAAGTTTCTTTCGAGCAGCTGTGCCCACAGCCTATGAACCTAGGTGTTGTATGAGGAAGAGAATTTAGTTACTCTGCAGCACTAACACTTTGTGGTTGCTTTAAAAAAATAAAAGGACCCTTCCTATGCCTTCATCAACTCAATTCACTAGCTCCTATACTATGATCTTGAACTAGCTCAAGTATTTCCATGATAGAATCTCTGCTCATTCAGCTAGAAATGATACAAAGTGTTCATTTCCATTTATGGCATCTCTCATACAGAAAGAAATCTTCCAACAAATCTGGCAGTTTTCACCCTCTTAATAGACTAACACCACTTGAGCAAGGGCATCTTCTAAAAAAGTCTTTCGTTCTTCAGCAAGACAGAAGAATTTCTGAAAATTATACCCATTAAAAAGTTTAAAGTTTATTTGGATTTAAAATAATTTTTAATATGGAAAAGCTGTCACACTTTAGGCCTATAAAGTATCTTTGTTACATACAGAAACTACTAGATACTGGAGTCACGCAGTCTTGCAATATCAGTGTATTTATCTTTAAAATACAACAGATTAATAATTTAATATGGCAATAAAAATTATTTAAAATATTCTTAGTAATATGGCATATACCATATTATTTATACAGTATATTTTCAAAAATGTCCATTACTTGTTTTACTTCATTTTAAAATCCTTTAATAGCTATATCAGAGGCACATGCTGCTGAACAAGATGGGCATGAAGACACATACAAGTCAGTTGTCAAGCAAGGAAATTATTTGGAGTAAATATTAAAAAATTTTTTTTTAAAAATATGAATGTGCTAGAAAGAAAATGGAGGCTTTCTTTCTTCTCCCTCCTCTGTCTTTTCAAAAATAAGGCAAAACATAATACTAGTACTCAAACTTCTAAATTCATATTTTTGGTAGGTTTTAAAAGCTAAGTAATATCATCATCTTGCACGAGGCGTATCACACATTTTAACAGTCTGCAAGATCAAGGTCCAAGTTTCACAAACAGTTAAGAGGTTGCCTGGCTAATGTGCTTAACTGGTCTCCCTAGCTTCAAAGAGGTCTCAAAACCTGAAGACACTGTCCATCTTCATGCCTGCTGTGACAAGCTGGAGGCATGGGACAAGTCACGGAACAGAGCTCCTTTTTAAAGAAAATATAATCAGCTTACTGTACTATAAGTCATTTTGCTTAATAATGACTCAGCCATAAGAATTAAACCAAATAGTGGCACAGTGGTCCAAGTTACATCTTAATGATGGGCCTAGAATGATGGAGTACTTTATGGCAATTTTCTTTTTGGATTGCAAGGATGCAAAAAATTCAGTTTATCACAGCAACATTCATTCATTCTACCCATATGAGAGGCATATAGGAGAATTAAGAGATGACTGGAAGTCTCTTTAGCCACCTTCATACTGCTCTACCTCTACACATTTGTGTCCTTGCACGGACAGAACATGATCCTCCAGGTGAGTGCTATCGTTTAAGCACAGACATAACTCCTGAGTCTGGCCAAAATCCTGGTAATAGGATAAAACTATAATTTTTAGTAAAGGCTGTTAGTCCTCCAGAGAAAAATAAATAACAAAGATTGATCTCAGATGAAGTTTAATAAGAAATGAAATAAGAGTTTTAAATCTCACTTATTTATTTACATTGATCAAACACCAAAGACGCTATTATGTTGCTCTACTTTCATTTCCTTTCATGTTCTGAAGTAATCGTATAAACCACAATGCAATGATAATTCCTAGAATTTAATGACAGGCTGGCAGATGAGCAAAGTGAAATTGTTCTAATCTGTACCCATTTGTATAGGCATTAGATTCACTACTACTGTCTGAAATTTTCAATAGGCTTTTTCCTATTAGAAGCAGTTTCGTGCTGAAAACACTGTAAGAAGAGAAACCGAAATCAACGTATGTTTAAGAAGTCAGAGGCCTCAACAGGTCAGTTGCCGGGAAGTAACACCATTCTTCAAAACTATCATAGAACTGGATATGACTTTTGCTTATCAGAATGCCAGCCTAGCTAGAGAGTTTTTTTAATTATTATTATTTTTTTATTCAAAGCTTGCTCCTAAATCTTCCTGCATCATTACAGACTCTTTCCTTAATGGCACGTACAGCACAGATTATGTGCTAGAACAATATGCTTGAAGTTACAAACAACTTTGAATTAAACACAGAAATTTAACTCATAAGCAACAACATTTCCAACATTCAGTTTGTATTAAGAAAAAGGCAAGTTAAATGAAAAAGTTATAATTCAAAAACTCCTATATGTCTTTGATCGTGACTTTTGTGTACATTTGACTTCAAAGCCATTAGAAACTGCAGAGTTTTGGGGTTTTTTTGGCTTCCATCAGCTTAACTTAGTTGAAATTGAAGGTAATACAAAATATATTAGTCAGACCAAAGACCCATGTAGGCCAGCATCCTGTCTCTTACAAAGGCTGGTAAAGGTGCGGGCAAGCAGACTACTCAGCTTTGCTTATATTCCCTCACAGAATCTAGCACTCTGCAACCTAGAGAACTCGTGAGCTAGCGATTTTATCTCTGTGTTCAAAAAAGCTCAAGAAAAATTTTCCACCACTTAATTTGGTAAATAATTTTTCAAAGCCATCTGTATTTTAGCCACTCAATATTCTGAGACACAAATATCCCAGTTTAACAGCCTTATAGTGCCTTTTCTTTGTTTTAAAACTACTACCCAATAATTTTATTTGTCCTTCATAGTTCATTGACCATAAGAAACAGTAAAATAAATTAGATCCATTTGCCTTCCCTGTTTATTAATAATTTTGGAAGTTTCTATGATATTCCTTTTCACAGGCATTTCCTTTTGGGGATCATAGAATCATAGAATGGTTTGGGTTGGAAGGGACCTTAAAGATCATTGAGTTCCAACCCCCTGCCATGGGCAGGGACACCCTCCACTAGCCCAGGTTGCTCAAAGCCTCATCCAGCCTGGCCTTGAACACCTCCAGGGATGGGGCATCCACAACTTCTCTGGGCAACCTGTTCCAGTACCTCACCACCCTCACAGTAAAAAATGTATTCCTAACTACTAATCTAAATCTACCCTATTTCAGCTTAAAACCATTTGATCTTTCCTAATGCAGAAGCCACTCTGTCTGTTCTTGTTAACTTTCTTAATACCTTTCTATAGTTCAACTGTACCTTTTCTGAGATGGAAACCTCAGAACTGTTAACAGCATCCAACATGTGTATATATAATGTACTTGCTAGTGATACTGTGTTTTGCCTTTTATTTCTAGAATTTGAAATGTATTTATTCACATTTGCCTACTTAGTAACCAGCTGCCATGTTCATGTAAGTATCCACATTAATTCTGATAGAGTGGATGACACAGGTTGCAGAATAAAACCCCACTGCATTCCACTAGCAACCTCTCTCTGTTATGAAACCTGAAGAGTAATTTGTTTTCTCACCTTTGCTATTTTATAATCAGACATTATTGCCAGGAGAGGAATTTCTTTTTACCTGTTAGCGTTTATGTGAGTGAAGAGCCTCATCTAAAAAATTTTGAAAAAGTGAAATAACTGTATCAACCAGATCACCACTATCCACTCGCTCACTGACTCTTCCGGAGAATTCAAATAGGTTTCAGAGATTGGACTTTCCACTGCACAAGCAGTAGCGATTCTCCTCCATTACTATCATATTTATCTGTGTATCTTTTTTTTTTTTTTGTAACTATTTCTACCAATTAACACAGCATGGAAGACAAACTTTCTGTAATTATTATTGTATTTCTTTTTGAAAATGAAATTTTCTACCCTCCACTCCTCTAGTACCAAAGGTACACATTAAATACCATACGTAAGAGTACCACAATTTCAGATTTTAATTATTTTTCAATTAGAACAAGACCTGGGCAAATACTATGTATTTGGGCAATTTCTTGACATTTGTTTTAGTGATTTCCTACATAGCTTTGTCTTTTGACACAAATAGTCATTTTGCTCTTCTTTTATTCCTTTAATCACCTAATAGCGTCCCTCTAAGAAGCTTCCTGCTTCTCATCGATTTGGAAAAGCTTTATTGCTAGTTTTTGTATTCTTGCTAGTTTTCTCCCAAAATATTTTGCTGTATTGTGACATCATGCTTTTACTTCTCATTTGTGAGTGCAAGGGGCTTTTTTTCCCATTTAGATGCAAATCCTGCCTTTTGAAGGACATATTTATCTATCATTCTATTGTTTAATCCTGCTGTCATTTTTTTTTTTTTTAATCCTTTACATCTGAATTAACTCACTACAGGTCTGCTTTATCCTTGCACCTTGTGCAGACTCCTTAGAAGCATTACTGATATCTCTGATATTCTTAAGCCCTATTTCTTTACCTAGAAAAACAGAGTCAATATATACCTCGTCACACTAATTGTTTCAGTTCTGTCACTGTCTCATCTCCTATGCTAACAATATAAAACCAAGATATTACACTGAATCACAAACAGTTGATTTCAGAAGGAACCTCTGGAGATGATCTGGTCCAACTGCCCTGTTCAGAGCAGGGTCAGCTAGAGCTCAGGGCCAGTGCATAGTCTGATTTTGAATATCTACAAAGATAGAGATTCCATAACCTCTCTGGGCAACCTGTGCCATGTTCCATCATTCTTACAGTAAAAGAGGATCTTTTTTCTTATGTTTAAATGGAACCTCCTGGGTTTAAGTTTTTTCTTATGTTTAAATGGAACCTTCTGGGTTTCAGTTTGTGCCCATTGTCTCTCATCCTTTCACTGGGCACCACTGAGAAGAGTCTGGCCTGACTTCTTTGCTCCCTCCTATCAGGTATTTACACACACTTACAAGACCCCTCCAAGCCTTCTCTCACACACTGAGCTTCCCAACTCTCACTCTCTCCTCATACAACAAAAGCTCCAAGCCTTTGACAGACTTGCTCCAGTAAGTCCATGTCTCTCTTGTACTGGGGAACCCAGAACTGGACACAGCACTCCAACTGCGGTCTCACTCACCAACATGAAATGGAAGACAATAGTCCCCTCCTTCAAGTTGCTGGCAACACTATGTTTAATGCACCCCACTATTTTGTTAGCTTTCTTTGCCCCAAGTGCACATTGCTGGTGCATGTCCACCAGAATCACCAGGTCCTTTCTGGTAAAGCTGCTTTCTAGCTGGTCAACACCCAATCTGTACCAATTATTCCTCCTCCAGGTGTAGGACTTGGCATTTTCCTTTACTGAACTTAACAAAATCCCCATTTTCCCATTTCACTAGTTTGTTGAGGTCCCTCTGAATGGCTGCACAACCATCTGGTCTGTCAATCACTCCTCTCAATTTTGTATCTTCTGCAAATGTTCTGAGGACATACTCTGTCTCATCATTTAAGTCACTAATGAAGTTTAACAGTACCAGACCTAGGATCAAACCTTGGGGCACTAATTCCTGACCTCTTGTTGGACCTCATGATCACAACCCTTTAAGTCTGGCAGTTTGGGTAGTTTTCAATACATTTACACTGTCTGTTTCTCTTGTCTGTACTTCATCACTTTGTCTATGAGGATGTTATGACAGACAACGTTGAAAGCCTTACTAAAGTCAAGTCAAATTAATATTTCAGCCTTAATTGATCAAAAGAAGGTATTTCTGTGGAGACTGAAACTCAGGCGTTGACACTACCACTTCATATAGTCCACCTTTTTAACACCAGTGTTGTGAATTAAGCCATTTTCAAAAATACTCAGGTATATAGCTTTCTTTCAGTGATGATGCCTCAGTATTTTCTCTAGTGGTAATCTTAGGTTTCCATTTTAATGTTTATGCCCTAGCTGATGATCAAACAGTAATATTGTTCTCCAAACTTAATGGAGATAGCATATGAAAAGTTCCTACCAATCTATGTCAAAGCTAGCATATTTTATCTTCCTGAATTACTGTCTAAAGTCATCCATATAAAGATAGAGGCTCAAAGCAATATTTTTCCTGGAGAAGCCCCATTCTGAGAACAGATAATAGTAAAAGACAAATTATGAAAGGCAGGGAAAACAGAGTCCCCAGGAATACTTTCTGAAACATATAAGCAGTGACTAGGCTGAGAGATGTGTTTCCCACCTGTTCCTAGAAATCTAAAAAAAAATTAGTGGTCATCTGCAGTACCATATATTCTCAGAGCACTCCACATGCACAAAGGCCCTCTTTCATAAGGCTGTCCACATTATCTCAAGGCTTCTTTCCTTGGACTTGACATTTTCATAAGCAGATTATCAATCAGAAGATAATAGCTAATACATCTTTTATTTTGTCTGCATCTCATTTCCTGCCATCCGAAATACCCAGGTGAAATGTAAAGTTTTGAGATTAGATTTTACATGATCACTATTAACAATATTCTCACAGCTAGAAGATTTTCTTGGTTGATAGTAACAACTAATCGGTGACATATTTTTATGTTTAATACTGTTTTGCTATGCAACTTTCAGGTTTCTTTCTCCTGATGCTAGAACAGTTATCCTAGCCTGAAGTACAATAAGGGTAAAAACTAAGCCAAAACCAGCAGATGCCATCTGCACTTCACTCATTCCAATTCTTTGCCTTTTACTAGTTTTACTGACCTTTTCCCTAAGCTTAATTTTCTTCAGCTAGTGAATATCTAACACTATTCACAGTTTATTGTAGTAGTTAGTAAGCTGTACCATACCTTTCTCCAGACACTCTAATGGTGTTTTTTTGATCTAGAAATTGTGGAGTTGCTTCTCCCAATTTTCTAGATATTACTGAAAAAGTCAACTTTTATTACTTTGGAGGGTTTTAGCTCATCTGTATGTCTTAAATCTACTGTCATGCTTTCAATTTTTTTTTCCTTAGGCTGCAAAGATGCTTAGTTTTAATTCTTCAGACCTGTCTTAATTTGTCCTATTCACATTCACCTCCTTTGTGTCTCCTCCTGGTTTTCTAGGTTATTCCATGCACAAATGGTTTTAGATCAATTTATCCTCTCATGTTGAAGTTTTATGTCAAGTCTCCACTCATAAGGGTTCATTATTGTTTGGATGTTATGAATTACGTTTGTAATATTCATCCTTCCACAGAACAGGTGGGCAAAACTTTATATCAATGGCTATGCCTCAGTGACATCATGACTATTATATATTACTGTCTTAGTCAAAACTATTTATGCTTATTTAATATTGAAATTGTGACGTAGTTTTTGGGGATCAACTTTTCTATGACCTTGAAAAAGCTCTTGCAGTACCATCACTCTTTACAGACAAACCCATTAGTTTTTTTAGAAGTGTACTGGACTTTGCATTTGGTTTCATGCTCCTTTCTGGGACTCAGTGAGGTCCTGACTTCCATTAACTTAGTTATTATCTGGGACAGAATTTATATTATACTTTTTTCAATGTTTCTGTTTTATTTCCTCTACATCTTTCTGAATAAACCAACTAATCTTTAAAAATACCTATAGTTCGAACCTCTATCTTTTTAGGGGTCTCTTCGTATCTTGTGAATTTATAGAAGCTCTTGAAAAGTGTGCTAGTGTCAGACCCTTAATCTCGACCTTTTAAAAAAAGTCACATTACCACTGTTATTGTGTATTTGGCTTCAGCTCTTGCGCTTCTCACTGTGGCACTTCCAATGATACCAGAAAAACTTGAACTGCTGCTAAAAACTGTATATCTTTATACAGAGATCCAGAATACATAGTACTGTCATTCAAAATATCTGTAAAATTTTGCATTCAGTAAAAAACTCTGTAGACCCATCTAGGCTCTTAACTCTTTCATCCTCAAAGAAAATGAATGTCTCCACAGTTGAAAAGACAGGCAGATTTCAGGTCGCTCTTCTCCTTTCTTCTTTGATTTTTACAAATGGAAAGCCAATACTGTTCTTCAAATAAAAAGAAGCCTGGATTGTTTCATACATAACTATTTGGAAAGCCTGCCAAAGACAACAATCTCCACAAAGAACTACACATGCCCAGTCACTCTGGTTTGTATACTGTCCAAGAAAAGCATAAACTGAGTCATCTTTAAAAGACATTTTTAGAATAATGTGAGTAAGCTAAGAGAGTAGGGAACCATGTAAGGATGGTAGAGCTGGGCCTATAATTGTGTAATGTTTATTTTATAGCACATAGCAGTTTATAAACTTACCACATCCTTGGGTGGAGGCTCAACTTCCTTCTTTACTTTTTTACCCATTCTAAAAACAAAATTTAAAAAAAAATAAAAGCAGACAAACAAACTCCCTTCTGTGATTTAGGAAACCGTTTACCAGTGATTTAGGAAACGCTGTAAGCCAGACTTTCTCATTCATTTGACTCACCTAATCAGTTTCAAGATTTCTTTGACATAGTAATTTCTATGCAAAAAAGTTGTAGCTTACAAACAAAACAAACTTTCTAACACTTGAACACAGTTGGTAAAATACATCTGTCAACAAAATATGTAACTAAAAAGAAAGATCCAAGACACCACAAGCTCAAGTTGCAATGTGGTACAAATACAGAAGACATGCATTTCTGTAACTTAGATTTATTTGCATCTATAAATCACATATGAACTTGAAGGTCCTATTAGGGTATCTTCCCACGTTTGTCTATATATTCTATGTTGGCAAACATTCTATACAACTGCAGAATGTACAAATAAGTTCTACTTTGAAAGTGTGATTCAAATTCAGTTAGAATTCTCAGTTCATATTTCACAGAAGACAAAAATCAGTTCTGCAGGTATTATGAAACTTCTGCACAGTACAAATTTCACTGATTTTAAAAAGTTTACACCAAGTCCAGCTTCTGTCTTCTGCTTTTTTTTTTTTCTATTAGCACATGTGCACATGAACCAGGAAGACCTTCTCAGCTGCATCTAATAGTAGCTTCTGAAGCATATGGATGTAATACCTCATGTGGACTCAATTTCATGTGGCTTGCCAAACTTCAGCAGAACCTTCCAGTTAAGCTACAGGCAAAAGTAAAGAGCAACATAACCCACTAGCTATGCACAGAACATAACCCAAGTTATGCCAAACTTAGGTTTATTTTAACACTGTGAAAGTGAAATGCGCACTGTTAGGACCCCTTAGTAACTCCTCAGTTATTTCTCAAAGGGAAACCACACATTCACCCTCAGCCAGGACTAACCTGACAGCCTCCCTGTGGTTTATGAGATTATTTTCTAGTGTAATATGAGCTGTAGCCTGGCTGGTTACAAAACTAAAGGCTATTGCTCATTGTGTTCAACAAAAATTTGGAGCTCTTCTTGAATCCTCTGAATTTTTTCAATTATTATTCCTCTACTGGCCTCTCAAATATACTGTGATATAGCAGTAGTGAAAGCAGTCGATAAGCACATCCTAAAAACTGATCTGAAATTTAAAACTTCATACACAGGTCACTAATTATAGTTTTGAGAGGAAGACCACTGCAATCAGAGATTCTTCAATTCCAGTCTGCTTCATACTTACGCATATATACATACACATATATGAACACGCACACACTAGAACTCAGTGTTCCAGAAAGTGCAGCTTTGGCCAGGGACAAATTACCTCAGAAGAGAAAGTATAAGGACAAATTATCAACAGTATATTCAACAAAAGTGATGAACATACTACCTTCTGATTTCTGCAATCACTGTAGAAAGTAAGCATCACACATACATGCAAACGTCAGATTTACAAGGACATTCAGGAAATGTGGGTTATTTACGTTGTGTCAAATCCTAGTATGGAGATATGGACACTTATTTAGAATTATTCAGTTCAGCTCAAATAATTTCAGGTACAATTTAAGCTAAAGTCATAAAAACAATATTAATTCTGAATGAGTTTAATTAGGTTTAAACCAAACAATTTTAAAAGTTAATTCATGTGAAAGTATTTATAACATTGTACAATTAACATTCACAGATTCAAATAAATATACATATTCCAAGACCGTGAATAGCTAAAGCCTTTAATGGTAAATATTTCTTCGCACTGTACAAATATATCCAACCTCTGAGAATATTTTCAAGAAACTCATCCATTTTTTTTCTACATATTCAGAAATATTTGGCTCCTTGGTAATATTAAAAAAGAAAGCAGTATAATTTGTAGCAACAAGCACAGAGAACAGGACAATTACTTTATTGTCGATTATGCTCCTCAGTCAGTTTCTCTGCTGTGGTTACCATTCCAGATTTCAGTGCATTCTGCCATCAAATGCTGGTGTTAGCCTTGTACCCATAAAGCTCTCTGTATTCAGTAGTCATTCTCTGACTTGATACAGTGATGCATGTGGAATTCTTTGGCTTACTGATAATTAAAAATGCATCTTCTGCATTGAATTTTAATTATCACAGACAATCAATGTGTACAGGTATTGAAGGGCTATTGACCCACAAAAGAACTTCTTATTCAAATCCCTTTCTCTCCATGATAACTGCATGTTGTCCTTTTCTCAGTAGGTTTAAAGTATGCATATCTTTGATTCTCAGTTCACCATCCTAAATATTTAAAATTCAGAAAAAAATTGCAGCAGGATTTAGATTTTTAAATATGATTAAATGCTACGTCTATGTTACCTGAAAAACTTCTTTTAAAAACTAAAACCTAAAACTCTATTCACTAGTAAATAAGTGTAATTAATTAAACCTTAAAGACAAAATAAAGAATATTGTCATTTGAGTAATATTCTCTAATTCATGTTCTGTAGGTTTCTAGAATCATAGCAGCATACTTTTTCCATGTATGTTTTTTGAGATTAAAGAGTTGATTGTTTTAAATCATGTAGGGCTAGAGCTAATAAAGAACTTTGACATAACAGATGTAGCCAATGCACAGGCAAGCTATCTACAAAGTTACCATTCTATGCTACTTCCTGTCCTTCACCTGGAATTTATTGCCTTCAGTGGTAGACAAATGAGCCTGCTTTAGTTTGCTCTTACCCCGTTTCAGCACAATGGTCTAATCAGGCATTGTCTCTCACCCCACAGGACAGTCATTACATCTAACTAAATCCTCACTCCAAAACTATAGTCCCCAAGACTCTCCCTCAGCTCAGGCTATTCTTGGTGCCTAAGCTCAGCAGGCACTTCCTTGTTTCACTCTGAACTTCCTTAGGGCTTCCAGCTTTCCCATAGGACAAGAACTACCCCAGTGTGAGTACCTTAAGCTAAACCAGTATCCAGGAACTGTGAGTGGTGTCCATGAAACTAAATTAGGCATCAGTACTTAAGTTAGTCACTCTCCTTGATAATCAATGGAGATGTAGTCAACATATTCAATAGCTCTTAAGGGAGACTGATCCTAAAGTAGGTATCTAAAATGGAGCTGCACCTTAAAAAGAACTACTTTTTCCTCAGACCAAAAACAAAGTCCAGAGTTGCTAGCTCATGTACTGAGATTTGCACTGACATCTAAAGTTCGTGAGAGAAACTTATTACCCTGTTTCTCCACATGAATCCACATGCCAGGCTAGGTCTGGCAGATACTATCTCACTAGACTGAACATTAGCAGAACCAGGCATATGACAAAAAACAGCCACGACTTTTTAGAAGTGGCTGAAGGAACAGGCCCATTTCCAGTAACATCTCTGTGACTAGAACATTTTGCCCATAAGCGGAAAATGATTTTGAGGAAGGTCACAAATGTGGACTTTTTAGTTCAAAAGTGAAACCCTCTAACCTCTTGGCTATTATACATGAACTGACATCTCTGCCATATGAAATAAGGAAAATTTATTTAGTTTTTGAAAGATCTGTTGCAGATGCCTGCCCAGAGGAGCAGATTCCAAGTACCAGATCATAAGATAATGATGGCCTCTTACTTCATTTTTATTGTCTTGCTCTAGGAACCTCTCTGCTCAGTGTGAATAGTTGCTTAGATTGCACATCTTGGATATCCATTTAGTTCTAGTCACTATACCTTTTTTTTTTTTAAATACAAGATGATGGATAGCAAGTGAACTTAAACAAAAAAAGAGAGTCTATAAATCATACTTTGAAATATGAGGAAAGTTTTATGATGTTTTTTCTGTTCAAAATACTGAAATCTTCTAAACAATTCATTTACAGTATGGAGTATATACCTACAGTATCAGTCCTGTTTCATACACTTAAAAAACTTAATATTTAATGGTTTTAAGTACAGACAATGCATTTAGAAAACATACGTGTTCTATTTGCATCTTCTTTTTTCTAAAACCTTAAATAACTGACACAAAAACCTAAGGCCCTGCAAACACCGAATGTTAGTGAGACTTGAGACAAATATTAAGGAATAAGTCAAAGACACAGCCAGCTGTGGAACTTACCTCTTAGTCAAGGCACCAAAGGTCTCTTCTGAGAGCAATTACTCCTATGGAAAAGCAATGCAAAGAGAAGGATTTAAGAACAGCTTCCAATCAGTTATTGTTATTACATGTTCCACTTTGTGAATTAACTGTCCCGTGCTTTAAGACAGTCTGAGGCTATGTTACTACAACCTGGCCATGAATTTTAGGTACTTGACAAAAATTATGGACAAGTGCCTTCCAAGTGATAAACACATAATCTCAATTTAGTCTAGCTAGTTTAACTGAAGTCTTGCTGTTTCTTCTTGTCTCATAGAAATAAAAATCTTTTTCAGTGAAAACTGAATCAATGAAGATGACCAATTCATAGGCAACTGATTTCTGGATGGATGCTCCAGTTCTGCTGCCTTCCAATGCAATCAAAAGGAAGATACTAAAATTATAGTCATAGCATTAGCAGACAATCTCACTCCTTTCTTGAGTCCATAAACTAGGATGTCCTTTGTATGCCAGCTTAAATATCCTCCTCATCATTCTCAGGTAGCTTTGTCATAATTAAGAGAATGTGGAATAATCTTGAAACTCCCTTCTTTCTTTCTCTCTCCAAAATTCATCTTCCAGCTTTCTTCTGTCCTACTCCTTAAATGTGGATTAACAGACTCCCCTTGCCCAGTGCTGTAATGCCAGTACAAGCATTAATACATTATAAAAAACCTGGATTCATAGAAGGGGAGAGATAATAGAGGGATACAAGGTCCAATTTAATGTTCAGTTCCTGAAGATATATGCTGTATGAAAATAATACATGAGAGATCAATTAAGTCAAGACCTTTAAATCTGCCTACTCTTTTATCTGTGCCTATGTGTATATTAGGCAAAAAACGATCAGTAGTAAGTCAATAATTAGCTACTGTGCAACAGATGCT